GGCTACCAATACTTTTTAAACCTTTTTGGAGTTAATGCACCCTTAACATATCTAGTTAAAAATAGAAAACAAGTGACTGTTGCATAAACATTAAACAGAATAGCATACATACATCAAAATATTATCATTTACTAAAAATAATGTTGTACACAATGTATTAACCAAATAATAGTGGCTGCCTATGTCAATTGGCTGAAAATACAGGTTTTTTTCCTGCATGGTTGCTACATTTCAATCAGGACCCACTTATCCATTAAATACAGTTAAGTATTTAGCATTAAGTCAGGAACTGTGATAAGAGTAGTAGTATAGCAACATCAAAGTTAAATGTTAGTAGCAATGGGAGCAAATGAAAATATTAGTCACATTAAAAGAATCTTAGTAGCAGCATTGTAAGAAATAATATGCAAAGTAATCAAACACTTTGTATATTCATTTTCCAAGAATAAGAAGCAGTAGTATATTACCTTCACTTCATGCTTAAAAATGATTCATCCATCTCTTTCATTATAAAACCAACTGAATTTATTTTTTTTTATCCCCTGTTGCATTCTTATACAAAAAAAAAAAAAAGGGAGGAAAATGATCTCCTATCCTCAGCATCCCAAATTCATTTCCCAACATTTTTCTATTCTATTTTTCTTAACTGCATTTCTTTTTTCTCTTTCTTTCTTCCTCCCTCCCTTCCTCTGCTGTCCCTTTTCTCCAAGTTACCTCATTTCATCTCTTTTTTTTCTCTCTCTCTCCTATAAGTTTTGTGAGTGTGGATGTCTAGGTGTGTAACTTTGAGTGCTGACTCCTAGCAATTGTCTGAACTTTTTTTTTTTTTTGAGAAGACACAAAGAAATGGCTTGCCATTGCCTCAAGTGCCATTGACAGTGACTGGTCCATGGTCACTCACCTGACTTTGTGACTAAGACAGGACAAGAAGCCATAACCTCCTGGCTTCTAGCCTGATGCCTTCATCACTACATTAAACGATCTATATATCATTTACATCAGTATCAAATTTATCTACCTCTAGATAACAACCATCTTTGAAAATCAAATTAGTATAAACTGCATGAAAGTATAAACTAAAGTGTGTCTGAGAACCCACCACACCCCAATGGGGTTAGCTCATCCACTCATTCCAGCAAAAAAGGTATGCTGTGGACCCCATTGGCTAAGTAACTTCAGTTAGCAGGATCCAGGAGAAGAGCCTTTTCTGCTGTGGAATCTTCTGGAATATCATGTCCTTCAAAGGTGAGATTTGTCCCCACCCTCTTGGCCTTCCAGAAGGTGGAAACCTGGCTCTGTTGATTAGCTTGGGCTCCCAATGGCAGTACCCTTTACTGGAGGTGGTTAGTAGGCAAGAAGAAGATCCCACCTTCATCTCATTGATAAACTGGTTCCTGTTTTACTCAATTTTTGTTAACATTTAATGCTCTTATTATTTTTAATGTTTTAATATTTTATATTACCCTTCTTATGATGTTGTAAGCCACCCAGAGTCAATACACAATGACATGACCAACATATAAATTTAATAAATAATAATGATTAAAAAGGTTAGAAATACTCCCTTCATTGGCAGAATTAGAACTTTTCATGCATGAAGTTGAAAATCTAAGCCCCTCACTTAAAGAATCTTAATTAACATTGATATTTGCATGATGCAATATGTATCTGTTTTATAGTTAGAGCAGAATATTTTGAATTGTATCAATCCTAATGCTGAGGTTTAGGGGGTGGGAAGTATTGCACAGTAATAAAACAAAACAAGTGGAAGATTATTTCCACTTTGTGAAGCTGAATAGGCTTGTGGATGTATAATATTTTAAATAACCATTAAATATTCCTTTGAAGCTTGTGATAGAAAGTTCTCATTAACCTAAATATGGGATATGAATTCCAATACAGTCATTATGTATGGAAATAACCCCCTAAGATTCACAGATAAAACAAAATTCATTCTTAGGGGCAATACATTTTATGCATATAGAGAGTATTTAAGTACTTCAAAAGTAGTTCCACCCTGAAAAATGACTGCAATAATTATACAGTTTTACCAACACCTCTGCTTTTTTAAAACTTTTCTGACTTCATATACTTTATAAATGATATTCATTTCTTAATGTTGTATACTCAGCAGAAGCTAAGTTAAAAATATTGTTTGTTTCCATTTCAGATACTCTTAGCAAATATAGGCATGTAGATTTTACTTGTATGTTGTCTCTAAGTAGATCAAAGAATAGAATATGTTAATATATATATATATATATATATATATATATATATATATATATATATATATATATATATAAATTAATTAATATTTTAAGCTGCTTGGAGTCACCTGTGTTGGGCAGCCATATAATCTGTTTAATATATAATACAATTTCCCTCCAGAGAAACAAAGGCAAATGAGGTCCAGGCAGCAGAAGAACATCATGGCTTCTAAGGGACTGGTTTGGACTTTTTCATGCAGCTGTTGATAAAAATAGGATCACCAAAATGATCGCCAACATCCAATGACAGATATGGCACAAGAAGAAGATATTGATTTATAATACAATAAATTGCTCTGAAGAAGCTCTTTGTTCAATATTATTGAAATTAAATGTCACAATGGCTATACTAACTTAAATTGACTCAAGACACTTCAGGCACGGATGGCACTATCTACGATAATTTTAGGATGAAGGCTGATAGATACAGGAATTTTAGGGTAATTCAGGAGAGGTACAAATATACGGTGGGACATGTGGATCAGGATGAGCAATGTTTGAGAAGTCAGCTCAACCTTTGTACCTTCTAAATGTCTGAAGGATGTCATTTGATTTTTTAATGACTTATTTTGATTTTATTTGCATTTGCCCAAGATCATAAAACTCTGAGGTCAGAATTGGTCATAAAATTATTTGGTGTTGTACCATCATTGAAAAGGGGATATTCAGAATGTTTCTAGATGTTTCTTTCCTTTTGAAGAGCGGAAATGGGAGGAAAAATCTCCTAGAGGTTTAACATCATTTGACCCCTTTCTCAATGATTATAAATCATCATTTGACTACTGACCATCCTATGTGTTTTTCCAAAGCTACTTTTCCCTCATGTAAATAAAATCTTACAACGAGTGAAGATGTCAACCTCCTCCCTATGTAGAATCTGATGCAGGTCAATTCAACTGCAACCCCAATTACAGAAGTGTAGGAATCTAAGTCACACCTAATATCAAATTAAACCTGGAGCCAAGTTTTATCCTAACAGAGATGGGTAGCACTTCAGAAATATTTTAGAAAAGGTATCAGCACACAATTTAGCACCTATTTGTGATTTTGTAAAACGTCATGTCTTTTTCTGAGATTGCCACAGCTGTCCTTTGCAGAAAATGAAGTCCTGCTACTAAAGTAGTAATTATAAAGTGCCTGGAAAACATACTATATTGAAATCATCTGTTAAACAATAGGACTAGCAGAGAAGATGTTACCTAGTTTGGGCAATGAAACATCTTCAGGAAAACAACAAAGCTCAGAGAGCACCAAGGACCCCTCATTTCAACCCTGAGCTATAAATATTCTCCTGTATCAGTATTCTAAATCTGAGTTGCAGAAATCTGAAGGACAACCAGGTAGCAACACATAAGTAGAGAAAACGCAAATTTTTGATGTGACCTAGTTGTCTGAAGTCCTTATCTGGTAGCACATGTCTTCCATTCTCCATAAACTAGGTTTTGTGTAAATTGTACAACATGATTGTACAATTTACCTCAATATCCTTCAGGTTCCAAGAAGACTTATTCTCTTGGTTCATTTTTTCTACCCCAACTGCAAAATAGCTGACACTATCCATTTATTTTAGGTATCCTTTTCCCTTATCTTCTTTAAATAGGGAATAACTGAGGGTCCTGAACAGGGCCTTCAGTCTTGTTAACCTTCTAATACCAACATTTCATGTCATTGTATATTACATAATTATTACATCAACCAAAGGGAAGCTAAGAAAATATTGAACTGGATTTTCAAAAAGTTAGAGTTTAATCTTTACATAGACTGAAAAACCTGGAGAGAAAATGTCTAAACTAAGCAGAGCATGCTTCAACATGAGCTTGGTGATGTATTTTATTATTTCTAATTGTTCATCATTTATTCTTCAAATTAGACAATGGCACCTATTGGCAGCCTTGGGTGGGGGCAACAGATCATATGACATCCAGTTGAAAATCATTTTTTCTATTACTTTCTGCTAACCCATAAAAAAGATTAATAAAGCTTGACATTTCAATCCTTTGTGCATTGCTAAATATTTCTCAGATGAAAAATAGTACAAAGCAAACTCTCTACCACTGCAGAATAAATTTGTTTATTATATATATAATAAAGATGTTATTTCCTTTTATGCATTGATGTTCAATCAAATTTGAAAGGTTGTCATCCTATATATTAATTGAAAAATATGTTTCTTTCAATTCTTTTTATGAAGACATAAAAATAATGCAAAGTTACTTACGTTAATGTAACTTCCAGCAAAAGGAGAAGTGGAAAATAGCAATAGCACTTAGACTTATATACCGCTTCATAGGGCTTTACAGCCCTCTCTAAGCAGTTTACAGAGTCAGCATATTGCCCCCAACAATCTGGGTCCTCATTTTACCAACCTCAGAAGGTTGGAAGGCTGAGTCAACCTTGAGCTGGTCAGGATCAAACTCCTGGCATGAATAGTGAGTTAGCCTGCATTCTAACCACTGCAACACCACGGCTCCTATATATATTTAAATTTATTATAATTCTTAACTTAAATTGGAACATTAACAGCGAAAGAAACATATTCTGGTGATGCCAACGTTATACAGAGTCACTCTTGACAGCACATCTACACTTTGCATATTCATCATGCAAACTGGAGCATAAAGATTTCATACACGTAAATGCTAAGATATATGTGAAACAGTACAACACACAAACAACACAGCACAAACTTCACTCTTGCACTAAAAAAGTAACAAAAAGAAGTACACTCACAGATAGAAAACTTGTTGCTGTTGTCTTTCCCTGGAAACAATTTAAATCCTCTAGATTTAAAATCTATGGCCTTTTTCACTAGTTAAGAAAACAAACAAAAACACATATCAGATAAAGCAATCTAAAAAGACTTCATTTCAATTGACAATTCTTTTTGATCATGGAAGTACAAATTAAAAGTAATTTCTTTCCAACAGCATCATGGACCCAAAAGACTTGAAAAGAATATATATTGTTACACAAAAGGCAAATATTTATAATGTCCATAACTATAAAGGCATATGTGTGTGATTGATATATATATATTCTTTTTCATAGGTTTTATGTGTATTTCTCTTTAGCCAGGTTCTACCTACGTAAACCAATATATTATGCAGCCCTAGTTCAGTGAAATCACAATTCACTAGTTTCTGGGCTTTTTTTCTTCTGGCAGCCAGCAGACCCTCTCCCAATGGGCAGCAAAGGGTCTGCTGGCTGCCAGAAGAAAAAAAAGCCCAGAAACTAGTGAATTGTGATTTCACTGAACTAGGGCTGCATAATATATTGGTTTATGTAGGTAGAACCTGGCTAAAGAGAATATATATATATATATATATATATATATATATATATATATATATATGTGTGTGTGTGTGTGTGTGTGTGTGTGTGTGTGTGTGTGTGTGTGTGTGTAAGTTTTCACGGGTATATATGTGTGTATAGTTAATATTTCGGGTTTCTTCCCGTGTAATTGTGGATATATCCCTAAAAGGGTAGAAGCAACGTTTCGACAGAATCTCATCTGCCATCATCAGGCTTATGTAAGGAGTATATATATATGGGAAAAAATACTTTTTCTTGAAATGAATGTATATTGTGCCTTTTATGCAAAATATTAAAATTAGCTTAAATATTTCCCATATGCCATAACTGGATTTGTACAATTCCACTGTATAGTTATGGAACTTGGAAAATTGAATTTAATTATAGGGCACAATAGACTTGCCAATCCTTTTCTTATTTAATGTGTGTTTATTTCCCTTATTAACGAGGAGCAATATTTTATCTTATTTTTCCAAGAACTTTACTGTGACATTTTATATCCATTATGGCATTTTAAAACACAAAGTTAACACTTTACCTGTCCTGTAGCACAATTTCACATGGACTAAAAATTCTACCCATGAGGATATATGCGAAGACCTTGAATTATCATCAAATTATTTTCCAACAACAGTTCAGGAAAAGAATCATACTCAATAAGAAAGTATTATATAGACTTGTTTTTTTTTTTTTCAATTTCATTTGATTATAATTTTTAAAGTAATTTTAATGTGTCTAGGAAAAGAAAATTACAGCATTAAAACAGTGCCCACATTTGTGATGAATAGATAGCCTTCTACCAATCTATCAATACACAATCAGCCACTATATACAGTAGCAAGGAATTCAATCACCAGGATAATTATACTGAGATTTTAATCAAGTGAAAAAGATGATGATAACATTAAATAATATTATTTGATAAACTACGGGATTATAACTTAATCATAGATGCAAATTAGCCAAATGTGGAAAATTGAACTTAGAATGAAAAACCATCTGAGGGCATGGTTACAATATTTGATGTTTATAACTAATCAGATAAAATGATTTCTAATCTATGAACCATAGTTTTCTGTGTGTAGCAACAGTTCCTGTTATTGTTCTCCTGCATTATTGTTCTATTACATAGTTACCATGATCTCATTTCTAGAGAGCTACTGATATACAGACTAACCATATACAGATCCAGAAATCTGACATTTCCCCCAATGAATGCTTCAGAAAGAATGTTTACTGCCCATCTTGAACTGTAGCTAGCACATCCTCACGAAGTATTTCTAAATTTATTAGTTTGTTTCCATCTCTCAAAGTGCTGTGTTTCATTTTGATATAAAAATATTTTACAGATATATCAATTCTATATTCTTCAAAAAAGGAGAAAATCATAACTGCTTGCTTATTTGTCCAACTGTCCTAGAACAAATCCTAGATATAGCCTAAATATTGCAGTCCAAGATACTGAGTAATTTTATGGCTGTATCACTTCCAGATTTCATCTAAACTCTGACCAAGCAAAATATACAACTCTATCATAGTTTCTCACCATTTTTTTTACCACTAAACCTCCTTTTTATAGCATCTTTTCTGGTAAAAATACCTAACCATCTTGAATTTTCCATAATTATTTCCCATGTTAGTTTGCCAATAAAGGAAGTGTCTTAAGATGGATTTCTGGGTATTCACATTATATGTATTATATTATGTAATAATCATGTTGGAAACATGGTTCTTCATTCCATTATTTAAATGATTATAAAATATATATTATTTAGCTACCTGCTTACAGATCATTTGCTGTACATATTTATGCTGCATTTTGGCCAAATAATGAAATTCTGTGTTCTTTTTTTATTGTTGTTATCATTATATTTTAGAGTACTACCTGAGATGCAATAGTGAACATAAACTAAAAGGGAGAATTCATTTACTTCATGAATCAGAATTCATGAAGTAAAAGACAAATATTTGAATGTGAATAAAAGAGAGAGATGGAAGTTGGAAACAAGAGACAGTTTTTCAGGGTATTTGATTTCAGAAAACCATTTTGTATCTTCCCATTTTTCTTTTCCATCAACTACCCAAATCATGATCCTTGATCGCTCAAGCATCTAGGATTCCTAGGTAATAATAATAATAATAACAACCCAAAAAGTGATTTTGTTTGGCTGTATTTGCCAAGTGCTGAAAGGGATAGAGGACTTCTACAGGTAAAGCAGGAAGAAAAGCATGGCCTTAATGATCATATTAAGAAGAACCAAGAACTCTTGCTAAGAATGTCAATCAAGGAAAGCTCTTGAAAACAACAAAGATGAAGGCTGAATACAGAAAAGAAATAATAGAAAACAAATTTGTTAATTAGAAGAACAAGCTGCTGCATGGTTAATACTTGACGGATTAAAAAAAAAACTGATTAAAAACCCACATGGAGTTGGTTAAGATCAGGATTAAAGAAACTGAAGTCTTTATTTTTAATGGCTCAAGAACAAACTTTGACAGCTAATTACATGAAGGCAAAAATCTTACTGTAACTAACAACAGCAGATGTCATCTTTCTAATAAAAAGGATGAAACAATTGATCATTGGCTGCAGCAAAATTTCACAAACTGACTACAAGCAGTCACAACTGAGTTGCCAAAATTATTAATTTGAAACTTTGCCAGCAGTTTGAATTTGAATGTAGTAAAAACTACTGGAACTCAATCAAATTGAGTAGATGTTAGAAAATGAGTGGGTTAAGATCTTATGAACTTTAAGATGTAAACAGACGGGCATCTTGTTCATAACATGCCTGATAAAACAGTGATTTAAAAGAAGTAAATCTAGTTGCTATTCAGAGTGATTTAGGATTGAGAGAAAACAATGGGAAAAATATGAAATATAAGGACTTGCAGGTCAAAGTTAAATATTTATATTTAAAAAAATGTTACACCAATCTTGATTGGAGTCATTGGAACAATATCTAAAGGACTACCTTGAAATCTGGAATTTATCCAGATTTGAATTTATCAGATTTGAGCATTCTAATTTTACAAAAAAACACCCTGCTTGGAACTGCCTATATTCTTAGACGCTATCTTAATAATAGGAGAAGCAATGGCTCAGCATTGCAAACAATGAGTTTGTAAGCTGAAAAACTGGCAGCCTAGTTTCGAGATCCTGGTGCCCCTTGACTGGATGAGCTCCTGTTATTTATCCCAGCCACCTAGCAGTTTGAAAGCATGCATACCACGAAGTGGTACCTATTTATCTACTCAAATGCAATTTAGTAGGAAGTTAACAGTGTTCTGTGTGCCTTGGCCAGTGGTGGGCAAACTGATTGGGCAAACTGGTAGCAGTGGTGGTGGGAGGCTCCACCCACCCGCCGGACCACAGAAGCACTGCACATACAAACAAACCAGTAGCAATGGGATTTGGAACCCACCCATCCAGACCTTCTGCACATGCACAGAAGTGCTGCACACACACACAAGCAAACCAGTAGCAACAGAATTTGGAACCCACCCTGGCCTTGGCATATAGTCATGCTGGCCTGATGACTATGGAAAGGATCTTTGGACAACATTGGTCCCTTGGCTAAGAAATGGAGATGAGAACTGCCCACTAGACTTGGAATTGACTGGAGGTGGGGAATCTTTTCCTTTTTCTTTATCTTAATAATACTTAGGTCCTTTGTTAGTACTTGAATTATTAAGATTCCACCAGTCTTAGACTGTGAATCTAACAGTAGATTACCTATACATAATAGTAATAATAATAATAAACACCATACAACAACATCTGCTCATCCCAGGTCAGGTTATCCCAAGTTATCCCTTATTGGGACAGACTCAATAGATGGATAAAAATGCCAAATCCAATCTAAAATCTGGCTGGTTGTGTGATCTATCATAAAATAATAATAATAATAATAATAATAATAATAATAATAATAATAATAATAGCCAATAAATAATAATAAATACCAGTCAATGGTATTTGTGATGCATTTTTGAATGTTCAGTTGGCTGAGTTTCATGTTTAATGAATAAAGTAAATAATAATAAATAATTAATTAATAATGGACGCTGGTAGCAACCCGTATCAACCATTAGCACCAGTCAATGATATTTGTGATGCATTTTTGAATGTTCAGCTGACTGAGTTTCATGTTTAATGAATAAAGTAAATAATCATAATAGAAGTAGAATAACTATAGCAAAAGAAAATGTAATAGAACCAAAAGTAATAGGCATCTTGGATGCAGTCCTAAAAGAACTAGAGCACTGCGTGACCACCATCAATGTTGATTAAATCGCCATCAGTCAATTGCAAAAGGCAGCTTTACTTGGAACAGCTTACATCCTGTAATGATACTTTTAATATTATTAAAAAAACAACATCTGCCAATCCTTTGGAAAGGACTTGATATGTGGATAAAAATGCTAAGTGTGATTTCTCTGCATATTTTCAGCAATTCTTATTCTGTTCCCCCCCCCCCCCCCCCTTTTTTTTT